CCGGCGGCAGGGCGGCGGGAGGCGGAAACCGGGCCGTTGGCGGGAAAAGTCTCGAGGATTCCACGGGCGGAAATGAACGTCTCCTGCGAGCGGGAACACCTGGGCGTGAGCGCAGCCGCGATAGAGGGGGCTCGTTAGGAGGCAGCATTGGCCCCAACAGGAGGAGGAGGGAAGGTGGTGCTCAGCTCCACAGGGCTCAGTGAACAGGATCCTTCCAGCCCTGATGGTTGCAGGAACCCGTCTGGTGGCTTCGTTTGGTGTTATTGAAATGCTGCTACAACTTTGGAGGTGCATCCCTCCCAGTACACCATGGTTTACCGGAACCGCCTCACCTCCCCTTTCCACCATCAGCAGTCTCCCGGTGGCCTGCCAGCTCCACAGGACCTCCTGGATGCCCTCGGCATGCAGAATAATAGGTATATCCTTCTCTACGGAATAATATGCAAGGCAGTGTATTCCATTCCATTAATATAGCATATGCAATATATTGCAGTTCTGTGGCTTCACAAGTTGAATCCGTGTTCTTGCATTTGAGAGACACGTAAATACCTATGTACTGATCCAGACTGAAGTCAACACCAGACTGAGTTCTGATACACTGCACTCGCCAATATCTAAGGAAAACAGGAGGAAAGATGACTGATGCACTCGGTGAACCAAAGTTGGGTTGGTTTGTTTTTTAACACTTTGTCTACATTTTTCTAACTTAGGAATGGTAATCATCTATGCCCTTTTACCAAGGGTTGGTTAAGTAAGGGACTTATTTATAGTTACTGCATGGTTATTTGTTAATCCAATCAATGCAGCACATTTTTGAGCCCTGGTATTTGCAGAACATCACTGATATGCCAAAGCTGTGCAAAGATGAATAAGATACATATACCCCCTCCCATCTCTATTGCCCTCCAAAGGGAATCAGACTTCTCAGAGTCTTAAAGTTTGACAAATGTGTCACAATATTCTGGGTGATTGGGGATAAATAAGAATGCTGCAGCAGTTAGATGTTAACTGCACTAAAACAGTGCTTCTCAAAATGTGATTCTGCAACCAAGAGCATCAGCATCCCCTGGGAACCTTTAGAAATTCACATTTTCACCCCTCTATCTCAGACCTAGAAAATCCCAAATTCTGGGAGTGGAAACCCCACCCCCACCCCCCCATCTGTGTTTTAACACGCCACTCCAGGTGATTATAGTGCACACAAAAGTTTTTCCCCCAGGAAACCTCTAGCCTTTTTTTCAAAGTCCTCAGATGCTACCTACCTCTTTTTGAGAACCTTTTTTACCTGCTGAAAATTATCCCTTTCCCTAATGCTTAGTATATTTTCTGGAACATTGTAAGTGCTCATTAACTATTTACTAAATTAAATATCAATTAGTTCTGTGAACAAAGTAAAAGCAAATATTTCAGGTGAGGGATGGGGAAGGGCAAGATGTGAAGGTGAGCAGATGGGAAAGAAACATCAGAAAGTGTATCATATGGTGACAGTAGATATTTGGGCTTTTGTAGAGTTATTAATGATGCTTTTGTAAATCTGGGAACTGATCTGATAGACTTAACTTTTAGAAAAACTTCTCAGGAAGCTCTGTAGAGCATGAGTAGAGTACTGATAAGATCAATTAGGAGATGATCACCATAATCCAGAGAAGATGCTAAAGAAATAGTTATGGGAAATGATATTAAGGAAGTGGAGATCTTGCCTCTCTGCCCTCTTTTTAAAAAATATGTTTTTTATTGATTTCAGATAAGGGGAGGGAGAGAAAGAGAGAAACATCATGATGAGAGAAAATCATTGATCAGCTGCCCTCCTGGTTCATAGGTCGATGCTCAACTGCTGAGCCACCTCAGCTGAGCTCTCAGCCCTTTTTTGACATCTCCTCTTCATCCAGTTGTAACAGTTGGGGTACCTCAATGCTTATTACTGGTCCCTCTTCTCAGTATACCCTCCCCTCTCAGTAATTCTAAGTAGTTTATGAATATTAAAATCCACCACAGACCGATGACTTCTAAATATATCTTTCTCACCCCACTCTTCAGACTTGCATATCTACTACTACAAGTTATTTCCACTTCAGATGCCTAATTGACATCCAAATTGTTTGTGTCAAAACGGACCTCCAAAATATGGCCATTTTATAATTTCTAAAGAAATAATTGACTTAGGCAATAAGCACCAATAGATTCTTAAACCATAATATGAAAGATTATCATAAGTATTGACATAATGAAAAATTATCAACTTAATAATGGTGGGATCAGGCTATCACCACCTGACACCTCTTTAGTTAAAAGCTAGATAGCCACACATTGTCAACAGATGTTTGGCAATAAGAAGTACGACACCAAAAATACTTGACATAAATCTAATGAAGATTTTGGATGTAACTTCCAGTTTCCTGGTAACACAGGAACAAGCTAAATGACATCAGGAGGACAATCAGGCAAATCCAGAATGTCAAGTATACCACAGGACAAATGAACCTATTTATTTGTCTAGTTGATAAATAGATGGGGGAGTGGGGAGGGTGCGCAACAGGAGGGAAAAGGACTGTTCAATTTTAAAAGAGACTTAGGAAACATTAACACTCAAGAGCAATATGAAACTTTGAATACTGAACAAACCAATTGTGCCAGCATATGCAGTGGCCCTGGGAAAGAGATTTCTGGGTGGTGAAGTTTTGATAATGATACAAGATGATAAACATCCCAGACGAAGAACAAGAAAGAGAAAATTAATATATTTAATATGTACCAGTAACATATTATAATTTAAGTTAGTGTGAACCGTTCATGCAGGGATGACCTCAGAACAGTGGTTCTCAACCATGGCAGTTTTGATGCCCAGGAATATTTGGCCATATCTAAAGATATTTTTGGTTGTCTACTACTAAACAGTCCACAAGACATCCTCCCCTCCCCCGCGACAAAGGATATTGTAGCACAAAATGTCAGTAGTGCTAAAGTTAATAAAGCTCACAACAGGCAATCAAATGTCTACACCAATGTTGATTTTTTTTTTTACCTTAGCAGTGTTCCTGGTACATGGTAAGTGCATATAATTGATAATTCCTTTTATATTGTGTAAGCTCCAGATCCTTGAAAAAGTGGGGGAAGGTCAAAGATAGATACACTGTATTGAGGGCTGAAACTTAGAAGACAAATCCTAGAAGGATTTAAAAATATACATTATCAGCATACAGGTGTTAATAGAAACCTTAGGAGTGAATGAGAACTTCTACAGCACTGGTCCATGAACCTCACTATGGATCAAATTCACTTGAGCAGTTTTAAGAAAATACAGATGCTTGGTTTAACCCCAGAGCTTCTTCTGATTTAAATGTCTGGGAGTGGATGGTGTGATAAGCATCATATTAAAAACAAACCAAAAAAACCACACCTCTTCATATTATTTTAATGTGCAGCCAGTGTTGGAAATCTAAGATTTTTTTTTTTCGGAACTGCATTCATTATATTCAGTTTATTAATAAGACATACTGCATTATGTATGGTAGCTCAAGCAGTTGCCTATAGTTTCAACAGTTTTTCTGGGTTTGCTAAAGCAAACACACCCACTGTTGGTCTCTCTGGGTAAAGTAAAAGGCCAGAAAGTCCTTGGCATAATGTAGAGGAAAGAATTTAAAGACGTTGGGAGATAAAAAAGAAAAAAGTAGATTAAATGGTTCGGGTGTCTCACCTCTATATCCTGGCTGGGCCCTGAAAACTCCTCTCCCTTGCCAGTAAAAATAGAGTGAAAAGGGAAATACCCAAATATTTAAAAGTGCTTTGCTGGCTCTTCCCCCACTCCACTCCCCACCCCCTCGGCTTGGAATGCTTTTGGAAGGAGATACAATAAAAATGGTATTCCTGATCTCAGTGGGGATGTGAGAAGCCAGCTGAGGCCTGGCCCAGGTGATGACTGTTAACAGTCTGAAGCGAAGTGGGTATTGTTTTAATAGCCAGATGCTACACTCAGGGATCAGGGAATGGCTTCAGTGGCAGAAATCTCTGACTGTGGTTAATTAATCATGGGGTCCCCAGGAATGAAATAGACAGCCAGCCAATTAAGGTGTGTCTTGATTTATTTAACCAAAGCTATTCTAGGTCTGATGAACAGAGGCCTCACTGGAGCCAAGGTGCTAGAGAACTTTGGGTTCACCGACCCTGTGCAGGGGAGGCTGGTTCCTGTGAGGAAAGATCCTGCTGTAACAGTACCCACGCATACTGTGCATCTCTGCTTTGTCCTTCCTAATGGGGCTGGCAGTCGTTAACCTGAATAGTTGTGCATTGAGGAAAGGGAAATACTTCAACTCTGGAAATATTGGTTATTGCCCCAAGTGGTCACTGATTCCTGGGGCCTTGTAATCCAATTATAATCAGTTTGGCAGAATTGGGGATCATTATGGAGCCCAGGTTTTAAATGGAGTTCTGACCTGAGTTTTTAAAATGGTAGCCCAAGTGGGACTCCCAAAACTTACTTGGCGTCATTTTCTCAGATCCTGAGTCAATTCTTGGAATGGATATGATAGGAAAATGGCAGAATCCCACACAATTTCTTACCTCATAAGTAAAGGCTGGTATTTTAGCAAGTTCCAAGCAAAGGCCGTTTGGCACTCTCCTTTTCTGACAAAATAAGAATGAAGAAGAACATTACAATCCTGGAGGTTGCTTCCTGAAAGTTGTAGATTTGGTGATTAATT